TGTGTGTGCGTGTCTGTGTGTGCGTGTGTGTGTGTGTGTGTGTGTGTATCTGTCTGTGTTCCTGTGTGTGTGTATTTGTGTCTCTAACTGTAGACCCTGAACTGAACCTTAAAACCCAGTCCTGGTCCTCACAAAGACAGGCAGCCAGCAGCCCACACACACCTCTCCTCCTTCTTGCTCCTTTCTTATTTCCTGGAGGCCATCCAGCAGCCACTGTTACCATGGCAACAGCAACCAGGAATACTTGTGTGTGTTGGGGGGGTTGGGGTATAATTTGTCATTTTAATAGCCTGGAAACGTGTGTGAGCCTTTTATTTTGAAGGAGCTGCCTCAGTATTCAGTGTGAGTCTCTGGATGAAAGTGCTGCGATCTGATTGGACAGCAGCAGATTCCTGGAGACTGACAGAAACACCAACCAGACTGACTGACGGACGGCGCCGCCTACAGGCTGCAGAGGTCATTACACAGTGAGTATATACAGTTTCTATTTATATTATAAATATAGAAAGATACTTACCTTTAGCTAATATAATTACTGTTATATTTCTGTTTTTACTTACTAATTATCTTTTCATCTTATATTTATATTTGTACTTTTTCCTACTTCCTACTGTTTCCCTCCTTTCACACCTCTGCACAGTGTAGCGTCATCTAAACAATGTGACAGGAAGTGATGTAAGGAAGCTGTGAGTTTCCTCCACCTGATCATCGTCATCAGTCTTAGCTTATTAAAGATGTTTACATGTTCAGTGAGGTGAAGAGTCAGCTAGTGATGCTAATGATGCTGCTGCCCTGCAGAGCTAACAGAGGAGCATTTAGCATTACAATCAGCTCGTTAACAGCAAACAAACAGCCCGTTAATAAGCAGCTGTTACTGTCAGATTCCACCACTATAAAAGATCATATCTGCATATACACAGTGTAAGGTATAATAACCATTATTATTATTATCTACCTCAACCTGTGAGTATAAATATATTCAATCATCTGTTCTCCTGGTTCTCAGTAGTGGTTCATTAACATCCGTCTCTTATTGGGATATATGAATAGACAACAGGACAGTGTGAGAAGTGACAGTTTGAAAAAAAAAGTTTATTCTTTGTTATTTTAAAGCATCAGTTTAAAATCATCAAAACAATCAGGAACTTCCTGTTCTGCTGCTCTTCGTCACTCACTTTAACTCTAATTTACTTCTGCATTTCTTTTTTATACCTTGGGCCTCATGCAAGAACCTAACCTAAGTTGCTTGGACTTTGATTCGTATGAGTGTGCCACGTCAGGTTCGGCAAATGCTCCCAACTTCAGATTTCTGTGTAAAAATGATGAATGCCACCTGTGCGTAATGGAGTGTGTTCAAGAGAAATGAACATTTCTATAAGCAACGTTCCGATAATGCTATGTAAGGCTCCAGGAACTGCCCCACCTGTTAGGAAGTTGATCCATTAATGAGCTCTGAGATTGAAGTCCTGCTTTCTGAGATCAACAAAGGAAAGTCAGTTAATCATTTTTAACGGCATCAGCAGTGGAATTAAAGGAGCTGTGTGACCTGAAGGTTGGACTACCGCTGAAATCAAGAAGAAGAGGTTTGATATGAAAAGCAACGCGATGGATGAGTGCAGTGGGAGGGGATGGAGGGAAGATAGAGAAATGAATACGATAGGTGATATTAGAGAGTCCCCATCAATAGACCGTTTCCTATAATGAGGATATCGTTAATGGCTAATGATACATTTGCAACTATATTCAAATTCAGACCGGATCATGACAACTGAATTAGGAAATGTAATTTGCATAAATGTCTGTAAAGTAATGCAATATACAATCCTTTAGTTTTGATTGACTCCTACCAGAGTCTGGACCTCGTAAACTGTTTTCATACTGAAGAGGAAGTTCAAATTAGGAGAAGATTCAAAATAAGAGAAAATTGGTAATTGCCACAAAGTCTCCTAAATCAGTCGTACAAGCCACTTATGAACAAATATGTTCAAACAAGTGGTTCCTGCATTAGGCTCATATTCTCTGCTTGAGGCTCTACACAGCAGCTGGCAGCTGATTGGACAAGGCAACGGACTGTCATCTTAAAGAACCTATCAGGAACAGCCTTTTCTTCAAATTGTTCCAGTTTAAAACCATTTTAATCTCAGCTGAACGACAACAGTCCTGCTAGTGAAGAGACACTCCGGCTGGTCTAAGAGGAAGAACCAGAGGAGACACCATGCCCCCCCTCCCCCCATCCCCCCGTCTCCTGCAGGTCCTGGTCATGGATCTGGTCTCACTGCTCCTCCTGGTTGGCGAATACTCCAGCCTCCCAGCGCAGAGCTCGTTGGTTTTTATGTCGAATGACCCGAGTTGACTCAACAACCTGAAAACAGATGAGACAAAGAAACAAGAATGCAAGTAGACAAAGAGACAAAGATACAAAGAGACAGACAAGAACCAGGTGTTGCAGTGGACTGAAGTTGGGTTGTACCTCATTGTTGACGTCGTCCACCGGTTGGATTCCTGCGTACTGAAGACACAAAAACACAAACTTACAAAGTCTGACAATGATCATCAGTTACATTTGCATCCCAGCTTTTATTTTGGTAGTTTTAGTTCTATTCCTGTTACAATAAAGTGTCTCTTAGCAGATTGATATCAAAGTCCACTGAAACCAGCCTTATATCAGAGAACATACACGTTAATGCTTGACTGATCTGAGATTAACAGACGATACTCAGAATTATTTAATCAGCATTAGTTTTATTCACTTGTTAATGTTCCATTAACCTGCTGAGTCAACTTTTATTCTGACAGGATAAAGCACAAACCCTCCAAAATGAGACTAATAATAAATAAATAATATATATATGATATATTTAATATATAATAATCAATAATAAATAATCAGGAAGTACTGGTGACTCACTGAGCTCTCCTCCAGTTTCAGCTGGACTCGTCGCTCCTCAAAGTCCTGCAACAGAGTCTCTGTCAGACCTCTGAGAGGAGGGGGGACCGGCCGGACCACTACAGGGGAGGAGGAGGAGGAGATGGGACGAGAGGGGGAGGAGGGCCGAGGAGTTGAGGAGGTCCAGGGCTGAGCAGTGATTAAGGAGATGGAGGGTAGACGGACGAAGGGACGAGGAGAGGAAACACTGATGAGTTTATCTGAAACAGGAAGGAAAATACCTGAATGACATCATATGTGACACTGTGATGTCAGCAGGACTGATCGGTTTCACAGTTTAATGATCTGATGAGTCCTCTGGTGTTTTTGTGTTTAATACCTGGCGACTGGTTACTGATTGACACAAAGTGAAGCTTTCGGACTTTGGTCATTCTCTCATTAAGTTACTGATTGTGTGCAGTAAACAGCAGCTTCCACACCAGACTCCATTCACATTTCAGTCCGTTTGTTCTTCATGTCTCAGTTACTGGAGACACAAGTTCAGTGGAGGTGCAACCAGTAAGCTGCAACCACCGAGACAACAAGCCAAAATGTAACTTTTATTGTGGAAGTCCTACATGTTAGAGGTTTTCTCATTCACTTGAATACAGTCAGAGTTTGATGACAGCAGCATCCAATGGACATTACAGTAAGACAATCTGCACTGTGATTAAAATCTATAAGTTGTAAAGTTTGAGTAACCCCAAAGCTTCTCTCCCATGGATGTATTACAAAGAACTGGATACAGCATTGGGGGCAGGCTCTGTTCATTCCTATAGAAGCTACTTAGTGGCGCATGAAGCCAAAAATCTGAAAGGAAATGGCGCTCTCGTATGTGGTATATCACGTTCAATCTGGCAAGACAGTCATAAATCCTATAGAAAGGCCGTCCATAATGCCAGAGGAGCCTATTACTCAACACTAATAGAAGAAAATAAGAACAACCCTAGGTTCCTCTTCAGCACTGTAGCCAGGCTGACAGAGAGTCACGCCTCTCCCACATATCCCGCATAAACTTCGCGCTCTCTGATTTTTTTATACTAAAATTATACTATCTCCGCGCGCTCCGCAACTGCATCAACCAGTTATCAGTGGGCTCTCAGTTCAGGACTTCTACCTTGTAAACTATCAGATATATATTTGAATGTTTTCGGCTATCGAATCCTCCCCAGTTAACTTCATAATTTCTTTCTCGAAGCCATCACCTGTCTGTTACAATCCAATACCATAGGCTGCTTAAAGAAGTTGTACCCTTAATTGGCACTTTCTTTATAGATGATGATTTATCTTTCCGCTCTATATCAGGATATTGTCACGTCCTTATAAGTCAGCTGTAATTAAACCCTCCCTACAAAGCCATCTCCCAGGGGTTTTAGCCAACCTATAAACAGATTCTAACTCCCTTATATCATCATAAGATCTCGCGCGCTCCGCAATAAGTTGTGTTGACTTTTACATAGCAATAATTTATATGAGGATTTTCAGTCAGGATTTAGAGTTCATCACAGCACAGAGACAGCTCTGGTTGAAGTTAAAGCCCACCTTTTAATTGCTTCTGACAATGGACTTGTCTCTGTACTTGTATTGTTAGATGTTAGTGCTGCATTTGACACCATATTCTATTACAGAGACTTGAGCATCTAATTGGCATTAAAGGAACCGCACTAAGCTGGTTTAAGTCCTATTTATCAGATCGTTCTCAGTTTGTACACGTTAACGATGAATCCACCATAAACACTAAAGTTATTCATGGATTTTCACAAGGTTCTGCACTTGGACCATTTATATTTACTTTATATATTCTTTCCTTAGGCAATATTATTAGGAATCACTCCATTAACTTTCATTGCTATGGCAGATATACGCAGCTTTATATCTGTCATCAACGCCTGAACCTGAAATTAATCAAGTTATCTAAATTACAAGCATATCTTAAGGACATAAAAACCTGGATGAGCTGAATGGACACATACAGACTTTATGAATGCTTCAAAGGTTGGGAGTAAGCACCTTTTTTCAGTCTCTTATTTAGCACCCCAGTAAATTTGAATAAATTATAGTTTAGTTCTCATGGTTTCTGTAAAATGAATTAAAGGACTGAAGTGTGGAGAACCTATCTGATATAACGATGTGGAGATTGTCCATATTAACAAAAAACATGTATAGTTGTGTAGGCTAGCTAAGCTGCAAGCTTACGTCTCACTCTCACTTTGAGAGGTTTTATACATCCAGATAATTTATTTAAAATCCAGACCAGGCCTCTCACAGAGACCTCCATTTATCTGTCTAAATTGTATGGATCAATTTCTTATTGTTGCGTCTCTTAGAAGTTGTTCACTTCAGAGTGCACAATAATGTACATGCAGCGTTTGTTTTCAATCATCTGCTGAAGGGGGGAAACTGATGATTGCAGGATCTTTTAAATCAAGTGGCACAGGGGCTACCACGAACCAGTCAGGGGTGGCAGAAATAGTTGGAAATTGGCTTAGAAAACATTGGACATGCTTTTCATGCTCTTCTTCAGTGACCTGTGCATTAAGGCAGGTTATATTATGAAAACTTCTGAAGTCTGGTCTCTTTCTTAGGTTGTAAATGGTAAATGGACTATACTTATATGTTGTGAAAAATGTGGTATGGTTGTCCGTTCCATATTCCAAATCAAGCAACTATTTTTGTCTTTAAGATTCTGGATTTTTGAATTAGGGACAACAATGTGGAAACCTACATCAGACAGAAAATGTTGTTTCGAGCAGACTTTATCTTTATTCATCTCAAACCATTTCTGAAAAGGATCTTTTGAAGTAGATTAAGTCTGTTCTAACCCCACCTTCACCCACCCCACCAGTCCACAAGAAGACTCTTTGCCAGCTTGCTGCTCCGCTCATCAGAAAATGCCCTACTATAAAGTATCTCATGTTTGAAGTACAACACAGTGTTACACGAAAGCATCACAGTGTGATCTGACCTGAGAGTCTCCAGT